TCTGGTAGCAAGGTAGAGATTGTTGAGGCTCGAACCCCTGATCTGTGATGTGTGCTCCCAAAATTGGTTGAAGACGTGTTTTATAGAAGAACAATTCTTTTAGTAATGCAACTTATCCTCTGATGGTGACACGTGGTCTCTTACTGGCCCTTGGATCTGTGGTTTGTTAGTGTGTGATATATATACCAAACTCGAGATATTTTCTCATTCGATCTTGGCTTTTGGGCTTCTCTCGTTTCTTCTAAGTTCTTCTGAGTCTCTCTCTTCTTGTAACTAGGGTTAGAGATCTTCGTGTTCTTCATCCCTTATGATGAACCTATAAACTGAGATCTATTAGTGGTTAAGCCTATGTAATCTATTGTCTTTGTGATATCTGAGAGAATAAAGGGTTTCTTGCAGTGGTTTAGTGCAGTAGGCTGTTGAAGGCTGTCTTTTGTGACTCCTTCGTTTGATCTGCAGTTTGATGTTTAGATATGTGTTTTTGTGCCTTTTCTCTTGTATTTGAAGAACGATCTGTAATTTTGTTGTCATTTTGGGCTTATTAGTGCAATTGAGCATTTATTTATTTAATGGATGCTCAACGGGGGATGTAGGCGTTAGATCCGGTCGTCAAACCTCCGGGGCTTAGGCTAAAACATATTTTGTGTCCATTTTAATTTCTGCAACGTTTACTTATTGTTGTGATAGATTCTTTTGTATCTTATTTTAATATTGTGTGGTTTGGGCCTTTTCATCCTAACTTGAATAAAGAAAGATGGTTTTTACAAAACATTTTTTCTTACTGATTTACATCTCCATTGTACTTCTAGAATTGAAAATACAAATTTCGGCAAAAAAAGCCAACTCAACTCGTCACACCAAGAGCTGAGACTGCTGAGTTTACGAGGCAAGCCGAATCTAAATTTCTTAAGATCTCATGCTCGACTCACTCAAAGGCGAGTCGAGTCGAGTCAGCATTTACCATTTAACATCACAGCTTTTATATCATTTATTTATTATTAAAAACCATGCTCAAGATTTGACTGAACGAACTCTAATATCCTGGTCATCTTTTGGTGGGACCAAATCAAATTTTGGGCTCACTTAGATGGCCAGTTCCAATCACGAACTTCCACTTGGCGCTGTTCCATTCAGGCCACATCCCAGAAGCGGCTTCACTGAGAAGAAGTCAAGCTACCTTAGTAAACTTGTACTTTGCGCTCATTGGTGTAATCGTATTAACTGAGACGTATGACAAGTTATAGAGTGGCTCGAGATGGTCCACTAACAAGCTTGGACCTGGAATAAGTTTCATTGAAGTCCGACTCAAATTGAATGAAGTGAGATGGACACTAACGACATATTTATGTTTCATGCCACCTTTAATATGAGTTGTTCGATCTACTATAACACGGCAAATAATATGTACACCTACAGATACAATTTTTTTCACGAGTAAAATATACATTTATATATTTCATTAGTATTAACAAGTTCACATTTGCCTATGTTCGGAAAGGATCATTAGTAACTTTTTAGGAGAAATAGTGACAGGATCACGAAATGTATGGATAATAATGAGTAGTATTTTTGAATGTGTGATTAAAGTAATTTTTAATGTAATTACAATGTTTTTCAAACATAGGCTTAATACATACTCGCTAAATGTCTCAATATATAGAGTAATGATATTTAAATTACTGGTACTACAACACTAGTTTGTGTGGCACTAAGTATCATTAAATGGAATATTCAATTAAAAGAATCTCATAATTTCCCTTTTAATTGAATCACATAGTAATATATAAACTGATACTTTAATACCACTGGTGGTAGATACCATTAATATTAACTTTCTCTAAACTAGGCTTGAAATTCTTCGGTCTATACTGTAGCATTGTGTCTACAATAGTGAGTTATTGTTTTATCATTTTATTCAATTATGTCTTTAATTTAAAATTGGTTGAGGAGATCTGATAGTTTTAGAAATAGAACTAAAAAATTTTCAAACACTTTTCAAGATGAAGAAGAAATTGATCAAGATCATGCATCATTTGCATCAATAGATTCATTTAATTCTCATGAAATTCAAATTGCTTAAATTGAACAAAAACTTCAAAACTGGACTATTTCATAGGTAAACAAGAGTTCTATATATGAAATATGAAAGTTTGACTTTACGATTAAGTAATCAAAACTTTTGAGCAAACTATTGCTATAAAAAATAAACTGTTTCAATAAATGTATTTTCAAAAGAAACTATTCAAGCTCATCGGAAGAAATTAAAATATCTTCATATTGGTTTTGTTCAAATTGTAGTCAAATCATTGTTTAGACTTCGTCTAAACATTCCTATCCTTTTAGCCTTGAGAGAGAAGAGAATTTCATCCCAATAAAAAAAAAATGAATATATCAACATATTTAAATTTAAAAAAAAAATTAAAAAATTAATTGCAATTATAGTCCCAATTTTTTAAAAAGTGCAAACGAGTTCCCAATAAATTATTATAAAATTAATTTTTTAAAAAAGTACATACGAGTCCCAATTAAATTTATTTAAAATTTTAAAAAAATTAAAAATTATAAACGAGTCCGAAATAAATTATTAAAGAATTAGAAATTAAAAAAACATTTTTTATTTAAATATGAAGGTATATTTGTCATTTCACAGTTTTTTATTGAGAAATTGGATGAAAATGAATGGAAATGATGATTTGCACAATCAAATGTGCAATTAAGGATGGAAATGCCAAAAAAAAAGGTATGAACTTTTTTTGCAATAATAGTGAAATGTAGGGATATTATGTATTAATTACCCTTTTAATAATTTATTTGAGACTCATTTGAGCTTTTCAAAAAGTTAGGAACTATGATTGCAATTAATTTTTTTTCTTTTTCCTTCTGTTTTATTTAAAGAGAAGGGTATATTCGTCATTTCACAATTTTTAATTGAGAAAATGGATAAAAAGAATCTTTTGCGAAATGAAACATGAAAATAATGGTGAAAATGCTAAAAAATAAAATGTATGAACGTTTTCTACAATAACAATGAAAAGTGAGAACGTTATGCGTTAATTACCCTAAGAAATAATAAGAAGTCTCCTTAAATTTTATTTTATTCATTTTAAAATTCTCAAATGTACTTTACAAATTAAAAACATATAAATAAAAGAATAAACAGATCCATTGCCATCTCTTCTGTCGGCAAAGACTAAACAAAATTTTATACGCTTGAATAAAACCCATTTTCAATAAGAATTAATATATTTGTACAATCATGGTTGACAATATTGATATCGTCAAAATTTGAATCATTAATTTAAAAAATAATTTAAAAAATTGATAAATGTGACGTTGTCGTGTGTACGTTGCCAATCATAATTATATAAAAAAAATTGTAGAAATTGCATGATTATTTCAATAAAGTACACGTGGAAGCTCGAAAATACCCTCAGCCCTTTAGGACCTCTTTTGATGGCTTCACTATAAGGCAAGCCTCCGCCACCTGTAATGCTTCCCCCCCGCCGCCGCAATCCTCTCTCTCTCTCTAAACATTGTATTCCAATCACGTCTTAATTCTTGACTTCGTGCTCTCTGTAGATCTTTTTGAAATTTCTTGACGACTTATTAATTCTTCCATAGTTTTTTCTATGGTCTACTATTCCAGTAATGGTCCCAAATTTGAAACGTTTTTCTCCTTTCCCATTATGTTTTTTTGTGGATGAAGATGTAGAATTGAATTTGTCAACCTACAGTTTTTACTTTTTACTAGTACATTTTAACCATATGGTAAAAATGTGATCTCTCTCTTTAATAAAGTGTAGTATTGACAATATGTTGTCACGATCTTTCACACAATAATTTTTTTAGGAAGTTAAAAAACTTTTGTTTTGCAATTGCGAGGACGATGCGTCACCTTTGTCGTGGTAACTTTTTTATTGATGGTATAGTTTTCACGGTTAAAACCCGGTTTTAAAAAAATATTTTTGTTGCATCCGACGATGTCGATTGTTCGTGCTGGTTTCACCGATTTTTCTTTCCATATTTTGGATGGATCAGACATACTAATATATAAATTAGGAGACAGAATGGTGAAGAGATTAAGATATCTTTGTTTTTCATTTTCTTAAATGAATTCTTTGACATAAGTTTGTATATGTAAAATGGGAAAATGGTTTTCGTAGGCAGGAAATAAGTTTGTTCAATTCTATGGCTTAAAACAAGCTTTGTCCTTACTGATGGAAACAATACGAATCAAAATAAGATTGTTCTTAGGATAATTAATTAAAGGATAATGGAATTTTTGTTCATCTGTATCCTTGCAAGCCACTCACGTGGCATTTTATTACATGATAATATCACATTAGTGGCGGACTTAACGATCAAATTAAGAATATTTTATTCTTTGTATTATTCTTGGAATACTTTTTTTTCTTTAACCTAGAACTAGAACAATTAATTAATTAATTAATTAATTAATTAATCTGGTTCAGGCCCCATAGACCGTGCTTCCAAAATGCCACCACTAATATAGAATATTAAAACAACAAGCAACAAAGATATTTTTGAAAATAAAGATAGTGGAACCAATTATGACCATCAACTATAACATTATATTAAATACTAGGAAACAAAATTCTATATCGCAATCACAATCGTAAGTCATAAAAAACGACCAAGACAATATTGTCAATTTCAAAGAATAATAATACGAATATCGAGACATCTCATGGAATAATTCAAAAATTAAAACATATACGATTTAATAATAATTTATTTATTTTATCGAACACGTCACGAAATAACCGAAAAGTTAAAATTCCATTTACCCCCAAATATAAAAGAATCTACTATCTAGACATGTAAATCCGAAATTATGTCGACTGTCCCTCTCCGCAAATAATATTGTGTGACCTAAAAATTATTTTTCTAAGTGATGAGATGAAGACTCTTGTTTCTACAGATGAGGAATTTTTTCCTTAAATTAATTTTGTTTATTAGTTTACACACTTGTTGTGAAATCACTGTTGTAAGAATTTCAACACGTCATCCATATTAAAGAAATCCCCACCGTCCATCCAATTGTTGAATTCTAACCCTTGATTGAAATATTCTTGCAAGGGTAGCTCATTTGTTGGACAATAATCTTGATTATTGTTGTGATTAACTGGATAATTGTAGCAATCTGTCAGGTCTGATACCGGCGAAACTTGTGTCCCAAATGAGTCTGATGAGGCAGCGGCGGAGGAACCTTCCGGCGTGTAGTTGCTAGGGTAAATCTTGACGCCACCTCCAAAGTAGCCAGCCATGTTAGGCTGTGGCAACATCATTTGGCTTGAGCCCATGTTAAGATTAGAGTTCTTGAGATGGTAATTAGCGGCGGGGATGGTACCAGAGTTGGTGGTGGTGGAGGAAGTCCCGACTGTCTGCCCGGTCGAGGCGGCACCTGCCTGAATTCTCTCAATCAATCGTGGCATCCAAAGATAACGCATGTTGTCCTTAAATTGCTTGCTGTTCACGTCACATTTGAGCTGTTTAGCATGCTTTTGGACTCTTGTTCTCCAGTAATTCTTGATCTCATTATCAGTTCTACCAGGCAAATGTTGAGCAATTTTTGACCATCTATAACATTTCAGAACCATCAGCTTACTCGTTTTCATATTTAAGCTGTGAGATAATTTTTCGTATGAATTAAAGAAATTAATATTAACATACCTATTACCCCATCTAGAATGGAGTTCAAGAATCAAAAGTTGTTCCTCAAGAGTAATATTTCCACGACGAACGTCTGGGCGTAAATAATTTAGCCATCTCAATCTGCAACTCTTTCCAGTTCTCTTTAGACCTATTTTCCATTTAAATTTTCATCAGCTAATGAAGGAAATGAAAAACATTTGGTAAAGTTCAAGAGTAAATTTCTCTAAAGAAACGCACTAGAATAAGAAAGGATCGAATTTTCTTTACTTTTCGTACGGGTAATGAACTATGCATATACACATCTCATGCTGAATAAGAATATTGGACAGTACCAAATGGTTAAAAAGGAAATAAAAGAGGAGCGCATGGGGTCGATTTTCTTACCCGCAGAGGTGGCGAGTGAGTTCCAGCGGCCTTCACCGTGGTGGGCAATATAGTTGATAAGGGCTAAGTCTTCTTCCAAGGTCCACGGACCTCGACGGAGCTCCATTAATTCTTCTTCACTTCGGCTGTAATTTCCACCTCCTTTAGCATGATGCTCCATATTACCCTAAAATAGAGAAACTTACTGATTGACACAAAAAGGTGTTGATGGATTTTAGAGATTTTAGAGAGAGAGAGAGAGAGAGAGAAATAGACAGAAAAAGAGAGGGAGTTGGATTAATACAAAGAAGATAGAGAAAATGGGGCTTTATATAGATAGATAGATATAGAGGTTTTTAAATGGTGGAGAAAAGGTGGCATGTGGGAGAAAGAAAGTAGTACACGCCGCAATGGGGACTTGGTTTTCAATTATAATTAATTATGTTATTAATTTATTAATCCACATACTTATACTCGATCATTATTATAGTTAACAAGGAGGCTTGACTTCACCAATTTTTGTGCGTGAGACTGCCATTAGAGCATTCCAGATTATATTTTTCCTACTTTTTTCTTTGAGCAAGTTGAATTTTTTATTTTCTTACTTCTCTCAGTGTGCATCTCAAATTTCCACAGGAAAGTAAACTGTGCAATAATATATTTTATAAACTAGGCAGTCTAGGCATAAGTTTTACTTTGTAGACTGTAGCATGGAAAACGATTTATGCAAATAGTCGATAACAGATTTATTGAGAATATAATTTAATTTTTACTGTTATTTAAACATGATAAGGTATTTTGAGATTGAAGTAGACTCGTGGTGTAAACTCGAGCAAAATCAATTTGAAATTTGATAGTTGTTGCGTATCGAGTATGAATACGTTAAAGTCTTTAAGAGTTTTCCAAATTTACCATGACTACGGTCGAGTAAAATATTGTCTATTAGTTCATTTTTAAGAATAAACAAGTCAAATTGTAAATACTCTATATTTAGGGTATAATTTGGACTTACACACTTTAAAACTTAAATCAAAACATACTATAGATACATTCATGGAGACAGTGAAGAAAATATGAATTTCACAAACCTAAGGTACGACAATAAATTCACACGATCTCCTTCAATTAGATATGAAAATGACTGAGTCAGATAGCACTATACTTGCTATGTGACGATGAAAAGTATGACTATGGTGTATGAATATGTTATTCCCCGTCTTTGGATATAGTAAATTTACTTTTCTTGCACCTTTTGAATATGATAAATTTACTTTTCTAGCACCTCCTAAATTTATTCATTTTCACTACCACTTATGCCAAGCTGATTAAAATTGTACTAAGAACTACAGTATAAATGAGAACTGTATTGATTGAGTCAATAAATGTCACCAATGCCCTCCATTTCCTTTCATTGGTTCAATAAGTATCTATTTTGGCTATTGCATCAGCTACATACCCCCCCCCTCAACCCCACTCTACTCAATTTGAATGCATATGCTAGGGAAAAAAAAAAAAAATCTAAGGCCACTTTCAAGGTAACCTAACATATTCCTTTATAATTTATTTTAGAACAATACTACATGTATAACACATGGGTTATAACCTCTCACAAGAGAGGTGGGCCCCGCGACTAAATAACAGTGGACCCCACCTCCCTTGTGAGAGGCTGTAACCCAACATTGTACAATGAGCATTATTCTTTATTTTTTGGGATACCAAATAAGTTTTTAATTTATTTATCTTATTTAATTCTATCAAATATCGTTCAATTATTTGGCGTACCAAATATGTCATATATGTATTACGCTAAGTGATCTTTAATTGAACTACAAAATATATAACTGATTTGGAGTAACACAAAACTTATAAACAATGCAGGATTTGATAAGTAGTTAGTATTACTCCAAGTAAATGCTCTTTAATGAAAGGACTCTATCAAAATGAGGACCACAACACATTTTTGCATATGGAAAGTACTTTGGGTGTGCAGTGTGCTGTATCTTTATTTAGTATTTAAAGATCAAGTGAAAATAGCCTATCCTATCCTAGTCTAAAAGTCAGAACAACTTCCCACTTGCTAGATGTTGCATACAGGCACTTACCTCCAATGTAAATGTTTACAACAAGTGAAAATGGAGAAATTACAGTTGAGTTCTCAATTTATATGAATGGCTGTGCTACGTGTACTTAATTATTTATATAATAATTTATATATACATGATGTGTTGAGATATAATTGAGTCAGAATTTCTTCAATCAAATAAAAAAAATTCCATTATTTTTTGACACATTTTCTATATGTAAATTATGATGTAACTCTTTTATATACAAGTAACATCACTCTTATATGAAATGTAGTATAGGCGTGTAAGTCTAGAACTTCCATTAGGAGAGTTAAATCTCTTCCTTTTTAAAAAAATTAATTAATTAATTAATGTTTCTTTGGCTGCTGTCATAAAGTGCTTGTCGAGAAAAAAATAAAATTAGGGGAGCTCAAATTTTGAAATTTTCTTTGAAAAATAAATGCAATTCGTCATTAATTAATTCTTAAATGACTTCTTCACTCGAACCTGGACGTGGCTATTCCTTTTAACACAAAATAAACGATTATGTTTATCATAGTTCATGATAGCTAAAACTATCAAATAAAATGATAAAAAGATTCTAAAATCTACTTTAAATGTATTTAAAAGTAATTAATTTTAAAATAATGTTTACCATAATTTTCGTTTTCAATTACTGTGGAATATCCTTCCACGTTATATTTTTATTTTTGCAAACAATACATTCTTTGGAATTTCAGCCCCTTCTTATCTTATATGTTAGCTAACAATATCTATTATCAATCAATATTACAAGAACAATCGTGATTACAAACGCTATACAACTAGATATCAATCAACGTTGCATCATTGGAAGAGTCGAAGGGCCAAATCTATAAGTAAACATTTTACAGTCGGCTTAACAAGGAACAGAATTCATCGATATTTTCTAACAATTCATAATTTTTTATATTCGTTTTGCCAAACAGAAAAATAAAATCGAGAAGGGAAAACGTCGTATATACACTAATTTTTGCTGCAAATGCATTCGCTTGATACTTGATAGGCTTCCCAAAACAACAAATAAATTATTCTTAATTACTATTATTATAGTTCATGTTTGTCTCCCATGGTCTTGTGTAGTAGGGAACATCAATCTTTTTTGTGTTTTCTTTTGTCATTTTGTTGTCATCTTTTGATTTCATATCACAAGGTGCATCAATTGAGATTAGCTTATAGTGGGATATATTTAAAAAGACACCACAAGAACATTGTATCTAATAATGAATAAAGAGATGGAAAAACATGGGACCAATTGATATGTAATGCATGAATATATATATAGTACTCTTTATACAAAATTCTCCAACTTCTTTTTCTTTAACTATGAAACACTTTTTGTTTGTTGTCATTTAGTGCACTAGGAACCATGAAACATGAAAGTGAATAATCGATACACGCTCGATCGAAGTAGCATGGTTGAGCCGGTTAAGTGCAATACTGTGTGGACTGCACATCGCTCGACAATAGGAGCATACCCTTGGGTCGTTATTTAGTTTGTTTTTTCTTGTCTAGTAATTTATCGCTTTATTTTATTTATGGATTGTGTTAAGGGTATTTTTGTCTTTTTAAGAATCGTAGGATTCAAGTGATAAAACAACTCGAGGTATTATTGCTCAACATTGTTTTGAATAAAAAATTAATAGGAAGTTTTCTATAATCCTGAATAGGTGATACCGTGTGCATTAGATTAATCACACCTCCCTACATCACTCGCTTTTGAAAAAGTTTTCATATAGCAACATAATTTTTCAAATTAAAACACAACACGTATCATGAATAATCAAGATATATATTGACATTACATATCGTAATATAGACATGAGATGGAGCCTTGCAAATAAAGAAGGGGACAATCGACTCCAACAATTGTCACTTCTTATGGATTCTTACACCTATATAATTATATGAATTACATTCCTTCGTCATTATTTGAAACGTGATGCCCTCCCATATTCCTAAATTTTAGCTTTTGTGCGCCAGAATCTTTAACAATCCTTCCATTCGAATTTTAATACTTTGCTACGTCAATTTTTGCTAGTAGATAGAAAGACAGCATAATACACTACAAGCGACATTAGATTTGAAATGACATTTATTTTGCTAATGCAAGTTGATGGAGAGTGGTGTAAAGATTTGAATGTAAGGATAGCCAACAACCAAATGGCAACATGTTTGAACTTATTTTTAGTACTTGCATGATAAAGTTTTGTTAAAATATCATCGAATTTTGAACTATTCAAATTTCAATTTGAACCACGTGTTTTATGAGACATTCAAATTTTATCATTTTTCAACCACACATTTAATGAACTTTTATAAAAATATACTAAA